TCCACACAAGACACGAACGTGAATGTTGGTTGCGTTGTTGAGCTAGGAAACTTCTTTGAAGTTATGTTTTGTTATGCCTCACTCTAAGGTAGTAAGACAAAGTGTTTCTTTTGTCCGTCCTTCTGTAAATCACTTGGTTAAATTTAGGGTTCGTTTCATTTAAGGCACATTTGGTTGCTATCCATGCTCCATCAATACATTTGTAGTGGACTTTTATACTTATTCATTGTGGACGATCTGGCGCGCTCCGTCTTTCTGTTATCTCCGTCAGTAAATTATCTCCCCATAACCACTAGACGAATTTTCACCATATATACATGCATGCACGCATGCACGCACGCACGCAAGCATCTACCTTCCTACCATCTTACCAACCATGCTACCTACATAAATACATTTTATTTCTTTCATTTTATGTAAAGGTTACAGTGATCTGGGAATTGGATGTTTTAGGTTTTGTGGATATTTCTGACGGAATTAGCTCTTTTTAGTTCCGGCGGCCAAGTGGTTAGAGTGTTCGCCTAAGACGCGGGACTTACAGCTGCCTCGCGAGGCGCTCAACATTAAGGTTAATATAAGGACTGATCGGCATGTTTTGAAAATAATGTGACTTGATGGGATATCATGCCCCAGTGTTAGACATAACTATAAAATGCCACACTGCAGATATCGTATTGTTTTATGACTAAATTTATTAAAAGCTACATTTAAAATCTAAATCATACATATATACATACACATACATGCATACATACATACATACATACATACATACATACATACATACATACATGCATGCATGCATGCATGCATGCATGCATGCATGCATGCATGCATGCATGCATGCATGCATGCATGCATACATACATACATACATACATACATACATACATACATACATACATACATACATACATACATACATACATACATACATACATACATACATACATACCACATTTCACACTGTTTATATATTATAACTTGAAAAAGCATTGAAGATGAAAGCACCTTTAGTGACATTATGTATTTAATTGACTGCAGTTACTTTTTAATAATTTGATGGCGTGTTTTACTGTATTGTTCGTTTTTGAACAACATCTCAAACAAAAGTATCTGTGACGGGGATCGTTATACCGTTGTATGGTTTTTAAGAAATTGGGGTGTTGTGTTTCCAATATTTATTTAGATGTGGTACCCACCCATACTCGATTAAGGTTCAGAAGTAAGTGAAGGTTGGTATATAGCTCCGAGCCCCCAGTCAGCAATGCCGACAGTTACATAATAAAAGTACAAAGGGTAAAATTAAATAACAACAATTTAACTGACAATCAAATATTCAATCACTCGAACTTCACAATACGCCCCTTTCGCTCTACCCTTTGAGCCGATCTCATCATAAGAGTTATAGGGTGAGTCTTTCGCCCTGTCCTTGATTTTTACTCATCCTAATTCTTTCCGTCTGTCTAATTCTCTCTGGGTTCCTTCTCGTACTCCTCCACCTTTTCTCCTCCCAGATACCTCTTCTCCTCTACTTCCCTCGTCTATCCGTCGACTCTGATTCTCTGATTTGTCGCCTCTCTCTCTCTCTCTCTCTCTCTCTCTCTCTCTCTCTCTCTCTCTCTCTCTCTCTCTCTCTCTCTCTCTCTCTCTCTCAGAGACTCTGGACTGTACCTCTAACCGGAAGTTGTCCCCCGAAAAGCTTCCAGTAAAACACAAGGAGGATACAATATTTTTCCTAGACTAACACAACCCACATAGCTTATCATCAGATAAGGCTATCAAATTTCAAAGGTCACACATCCATTCACACAGAGATACACGTACAATCTTGTATGGTAAAGCACAGTATAATAACACAACATAATAACAACATCATAAAAGCACGATATCAATTACTCGTATACATGCAACGATAATTGATTCACATGAGTACATAATATAATTCAATAATACTGGCAACATCACAATAACCAGACGCATTTTTGCATCACAACTCTTACAAAATATACAAATATGCAAATATCTACGCTATGACATACTCAAACATATTTTCTAATTTTGCATATATCAATCATTTCCTGACTCCAATACAAATATGTGCAAACTCTAAATACGCATTACTAAAGTGCTGGGCACCACGAAATTACCTATAAGGACTTATAACATTAATGCTGCTGAACTAGCAATCTACAAAATTATACGTAACTCAAATTCATGTCTCAAACAAGCACATAAATGAAACACTACAAAATAACTCTACATACTAACAATCCCAGTAATTGGGTAAAACACAATATCAATACTTAGTTACGGCGCTGTAATGTTTGCAAAAATCGAGTAAATATCTACCTTTAAAGTTTCCGTTCTTTGTTCCCAATCCTTTGTCCTTCGATTCCCGCCAATTTCACTAATGGCTTTCCCGGAATATATTTCTTACAACAGTGTATTCTCACGGTCTCAGATATATAACAACTGATTTCGAGCGAGGTCACTAATGTTTTCCGAATCTAAGAGTTAGGACCACCCATTAGCTGAATTCCGATAGGATGCGGTTGGCCCATCAAGGTTCTGTCCGCCTACCCTGTTAATCCTGCGGGCTTCCCTTTGATCTCCGAACAATGTATATAAGTGAGTTACCAGACTGGAAAAGTGAGTTTTCTGGCAACTTACATAATCGATTGACCCTGCCACCGGCGATTGTTCACACCTTAAACACGTCGACACTAACCCCTCTCTTATACCTCAGGTTAGTTTTGGCTTGCTGAACGTGACAGTATCATTAATTATATTATTAATTTTTTTTAAAATTACCAATCGTTAAGTTCTTAAAAATTATCCATAATTAATAAAGAATCATATCAAACACTTACTTTCAAGCAATATATATATATATATATATATATATATATATATATATATATATATATATATATATATATATATATATATATATATATATATATATATATATATATATATATGTGTGTGTGTGTGTGTGTGTGTGTGTGTGTGTGTGTGTGTGTGTGTGTGTGTGATGTGTCGAATTTTAAAGACTTAATGAAACTTTAGGTTATATAAATGGTGCTTTAAAGTTAACATACTCAAACCAGAATGGTCTTGAGAAAGTTCACTGATTATTTCTCTATTTCATCTTTGAACACATAAAAATGGTTATGTTCAGTAGTATCTGACTTTGTCACTTTTTCTGGTACAGTGATTACCGCGATAGAACTCGACAGTAACTGTTCAGAAAGGGGCGCATATCAAATAATGGTTGTTGTGTTTTTCAAAGGAAGCTAATTGCAGCATATTTTAGGCTAGTGAAGTCTGATGTTAGACATGATTTTTTGGAGGAAAGGTTTATGAACAGTTATTTCCAAATGGTAAGGGAAATTAAGGGCGTACACTTTGGGAAACAATTTAGGACTATCCTTTGTCAAAATTATTTATTACAATGTATCTTGAAAGAAGGTTAAGACAGATTCCGGAGAAGCCTAGAGAGTAGTGTTTCGTCGTAAAAAGGGACTCGTAGGAAAGGGACAGACAGCTGTCTTTAAACGAAGGACAGACTTTAGGCTAGGCCACTTTGTTTTGGACGTGAAGACAAGACGAAAGGGAGAAAGGCATGATGATGTTGTTTATGGGTGGGAATTGCACTCAGACTCAACACTCGTCAGGTGATGAAAAGTGGACCGTGTCTAAATTATATCACTGTAAATCAGTAGGCTAGTAAAGTGAGATTTTGCTACGCATTATTTGTTGGAAAATAAATGTGGTTTTGTATTAATTGAGTACATTTAATTTAGTAAATCTGCTGAATGGAAGTGATTGTCTTTTGATTATATGTTAATTGATTAAAATTTTTATTATTTTTTATTGAAAGGGGGTTCATTGCTATTTATTTCTTTTGATAATTTGCTGAGATATCTGTAACGTTTCATCTATCCATCCACACTTACACACTGGGGAATAACTCCGTGGAAATCATTCCCTAGCTAACAACGCCGAATTAATTGAGGAGGATTTTAATGTAATGTTTTAAGTGCTCCCGTTGCAATATATATATATATATATATATATATATATATATATATATATATATATATATATATATATATATATATATATATATATATATATATATATATATATATATATATATATGCGCGTGTGTGTGTGCGTGCGTGTGTGTGTGGTGTGAGTGTGTGTGCACATTGAATTTTTGAATTCAGTTTGTTGATTTAATTCTCTTGACGAAAATGCTGACTTTGCATAAAATCTAACACTAGCAGTATTATCATGCTAAAGATGACTACAATTACGACATTGATGAGGACGTCAATAAAAGAGAACGAAATTTGATTTTCTTGCTACATTGTCCACCAGGTGCAGCAATGCGATAAAAACAACGGTAAAAACGATTTGGAATATTGCCTGTTTGCGCCTACAACCATTTCACTCCCGATAATAGTGCAAATGTGTTACCATAAATACAGTATTAACGTGTTTATTTATTATACCCCGCCTAAAACGATAAAGCTACTGCCAGATTAAACATTGATCTTAAATTCTTTTCCTTTAAATGAAAACCAGATCTCGGTCGTATTCTCTTTGGATGGACCAATTAGAGGTAATCCTCTTTTCGCACGTGCATATCCGTTTGTTCTCATTGACGACAGATGTTAATAAGGTATTCAACAAAAATTCAAGTGTTGAATTACGAGAATGTGATTGAAAAGAGAATAAAATATCTGGATTGTTCCTACATGTTAAATAGATTGATCAAAGTGGAACCACAAACACGTTACATCTGAGTTTTGATTCAATCGATTGATTTCATTCATTTGTTGTGTTTATACCTTGGAGATGAATTACGTGGACGTTTCCTACAGTCTGTCCGTCTGTCTGTCTGTCTGTCCGTCTGTCTGTCTCTCTCTCTCTCTATCTCTCTCTCTCTCTCTCTCTCTCTCTCTCTCTCTCTCTCTCTCTCTCTCTCTGTTCCGGTGGCCTAGTGGTTAGAGCTTCCGCCTCGGATGCGTGAGATCATGGATTCGAACCCTGGTCGAATCTCTGTCTGTCTGTCTGTCTGTCTGTCTGTCTGTCTGTCTGTCTCTCTCTCAATTAATTATCTTGCAACTATTTCCCTAACTTTCCTTCAAACCCTCAAACCCTTAATTTGTCCTTCTTTCCTAATATCCTCATTACTTGATCTCATCCTACTGTCTGAAATTTGGATGATTTTGGTAGTTTATTAGCGATAAACGTAGAATTAATATTAGTTTTATTGTTAATTTGTGGATTAATTTGGTATATTTTCTGGAGGATAGTGATAAATAAATTACGGTCTAATCGTTAAAATACATAAATAAATGGAGGACTTTGCTGGTTAAGTTGGATGACGGCACTGTGCAGAGAAAGCATTTGCCGTCATGATAAAGTAGAAAAACATAAGAAAAAGAAAAATTCTCCGGGCTAAAAGACCCAAATATTTTATATTTTTTTTAACAAACGGAAAAGAAAAATATCATGTTATTTTAGTGCGTGTTTATAGCATTGCCTTACAAGGTATTATGAAGCAGACAATACAACGAATAAGAACTCTTTGACCTTTTCACTAGAAAAACTGCTTTTCGCATTATTCTTACACTATTCTGCGTACACTGTAAACTGCACAGACCCATATCTGCCATTGCATAATGCAGTTTGTTAGGAGTTATCTGAAGAACAAGTAATATAGACGATAGGTCATAGTCGAATTTTTATTTGGCAGTTTGCTTATAAGCTGGTATATATGGTTCACTATTTTTAGTTCAGCCATAATGAAAGAAAACGGACTCCAAATCCGACCCGTATCACATTCTGATCCTACTGTATGTTGTTTGAAGTGGAAAGTTTTGACAAAGTAATTAATTCGAGGTTGTGCTTCTAATCTTTGTCCCGCTCACTTTGTGTAAACATGTAGTAATGTGTTTGTGTATCAGTGGTAATCATTTAATGGGCCTAGTTTGCATTATACATAATGTGTTTGGGTGAGAATATTTAGGACGTATTTTCATCACAGTTTATCATAAGATCGAATCTGTTTGCATTGGCTGTGCATAACATTTTGAGTAAGAAGTTGCCATTTTGTTTACCCTTCAGGGTAAAAGGGTAACATATTCGTCCTTGTTTCTGAATTGAATTAGCAAGAGCTCTAAAATTTAACAAAAACGGAAACAAATCCAAGTCTTTCTCTATAACGGGAACAGCCATAACAAGCAGTGCCACCACGATGAGTGCAAGGGCAATAGTCGGAATGTTAAACGAAACATATATTTTAACATTTTGTATGCAATGGCCGAGGAAGTTCCCCTTTTATGAAATGACAGAGGATATTGTTGCCATTTTATGACAAAGGTCTCAAACGGTATTACGTCGCACCTTTATTACCATTATTTATATATATATATATATATATATATATATATATATATATATATATATATATATATATATATATATATATATATATATATATATGTATGTATGTATGTATGTGTGTGTGTGTGTGTGTGTGCGTGCGTGCGTGCGTGCGTGCGTGCGTGTGTGTGTGTTGTGGTTATCGCCATTTTTCAGCACACGATAGGCTATACATGGCGGCCAGTATTATTTGTTTGTTGAAGAAGAAACCGGGAAATCCCAGGAATGAACCACAGACCCACGAAAAGCTACTGACACTTTCTCACATCTCCACATTCGCCGAATCCTAGACTAGGGGATATGGCAGTGATCCGTATACGGACAACGAGGTCTAGGACATCTCCCCCTTCGGACATTCCCCAACCCACCCCTGGACATTTTCCGTCTGGATTCCCACAATCAGATACGACATTTCCCCCAGTCATTTCCCCGCGTATGATCTTAAAACTTAATTCATTTAATATCACATTTTGCCAATAAAATTAAAAAAAAACATATTAAGTTATGTTAAAATAAAAAGGTTGTTTGAAATCAATCTCAGTAGTGTTAAACAAAGTTAACATTTTCACTTATAAAAATGTATTTTTTTAAATATATATGTTAATATTGTAAAAGCTTAAATATGGGTGCCATACCTGTGCACTAATGGTGATGCAGGATGCGAGTATACATTAAAGCTAAATGTTACTATATATAAATAAAATTGTATAAAGATAAATGGGGGGAAATGACTTGGAGTGGGGAAGTCATATCTGATGGGATGAGAGTGCAGTGGGGGAATGTCCGGTGGGAATGTCGGGAAGAAATCTTCGGGGGGGGGGAGATGTCCTGATACCCGGGCAACGCTTTAGACCTCTCGGCCACACGGGGCCCCCAATATATACATATATATATATATATATATATATATATATATATATATATATATATATATATATATATATATATATATATATATATATATATATATATATATATGAAATGGTGATTAATGATGGAGTAAGATGTAAGTTTTGTTACAAAGCGAAGGTAATTAAGCTATGTATTTATAAATATCAAATTACTTTTCACATTATGTCCATAATTTAACTAAAACAATTATAATGTCTTCTGAAAAAAAGAAACGAGCCTGGGGTAAGTAAAATATTGTATGTTTTTGATGTAAAGTTCAATCATTTAATAATAATAAATTTTATAAGATAACTCAATAAATGGATCTTTTAGAGAGATATGGCAATTTATTGCCAAGTACATATTTTGTCTTCCAGTCTCAGATAGATAGAACATGAATAAGCATGTGTGAGTATTACATATCGTTTTAGATACGTGAGATCAAATTCTTTATGTAAAAATATTTGTTTCTACTTGTCATACAATGAATAAGCCGAAAGTATTTTTTTGTTTAAAAATAAGATGCAAAGTTGCTTTTATATGAGCCATAAAATTTGGCTTCTTGTGCAGAGAAATCGAAAGTTTCGAGTTCTCCTGCAAGATTAAAGATTAACTGTTTACTAGGTGTGATAACGTTGCAGAATAACTTTGACCAGGCTTTAAAGGCCATTCAGACTAGTCACATCTACTGTTGCAATTTTACTACAGCTTTACCTTCATTTGTATGTCAGTAGCTCAACAAAAAAGCGGTATGTCACCAAAGTGTTCTTTGAGATACCGAGGCACAATTTATGACAGACCTAGGATAATAACCAATACAAATACGAATTTTATTCCTTGGAAGCGTGCCATGTTGTTTGTTTCTTGTCAGTTCATACTAGATCATAATTAGGCAAGATTGCAAATAGTAGTTTTCCACCATTATCTTCGTTTTAGTACTCACGTTCAGTTAATTTTCATACTATTGTTTTCATTTTCTTTGTAACTACGAAAATAGGCTGGTTTTCTTTTTTAAAGCAAATCCATGAATTAACGCTGTCAACACCGAACATGAGAATTCATGAGCACGAGTCCTCTTTTCCTTATTTTTACGCCAAATAAAGGCTCTTATAATACGAATCTTATTATATATGTATATTTTCACAAAATTGAAGTCCAAAAAAGGTTAATTAGGCGTTGATGATTTTCTTATCTAATCTAGCTAGTGAGTGAAATAAATTATATTACGGGTTTTGCGTTCAGTGTGAACATAAACCAACCGATAATTTGTAACGGGTTTAGTGAGTAGTGCCCTGTTCATTGATTTAGCAATTGTTATCTATGACTTCTCTTGATGTTCTTGCCCAGTGTGAGTAGATAGATAAAATATATTGACAAAAAACTAAGACTATTGAGAATAAATAAACAAATACTAGCCCCCTTAAACAATCAAGTAAAATAGAATTTTATTGATTAATAGATAAACTAAAACATGGTTGCAATTTAAATCCAATTGATTTAAATTAATGGAATTCAATATCAGTGTTAAATTTACGGATTTGCTCATCATAGTAACGAATGGTGAAAAGTACAATGTCTACGCTGTTTTGCAATACCAGAAGTCTCCTGCTTTATGCTTGGTAAATTCCGCATTTAGCGTGTACGCTTAGCCATCCTATGACCCTTTCTATCCTGAGCCCTCTATTTGTGGACATCCCGCTTGGATTATCCTCATCGGGTTCTCGGGAATGGATACAGAAAGCTTTTCCTTAAATAACAATATTACGGCTAAAGCGGTACATGTTTTTACCCTGTGTCCAATTAGATAATTCTCTCGCTTTCGATATTTAAGAATCACAAATAGTTATCCACACTGCAAAAATTTTGATCTAATGTGACATTCACGATTAATGGTCCTTACAAATGACACCTATACTATACATCCATAAATGCATCCAAGCTTGTCTTAATGAGATCTTGTCTCACAGCAACAATTGACACGTGGGCGAAGTGTATAAACACTACATGCCGTACATATCAGTATACATTACTATACGTCCCCTTATAGCTAGCTAATTCCACTCATCAAGATAAATGTTTGATTCCTATTGTATAAGATTCTCTAAATTCTAGCTTACAGTAACAAGTAACATGCAAGACCAATGAAGCATTGCAAAATCATCTATAAATATGCAATTATCATTAATTGACGGTAAACAGTATCATCCTAGAGACAAAGAAATTTAATTCATATAACCATAAGAAAGTCTACATATTTTGAATAATTCATCAATCCCTATGAAATGCTACATATCTTAAATTAGGATTACATCACAAATTCGTCAATTCTATCAATGAAATAAAAACTGTTACATTAAATAATTAAATTTCCTGCCATTCTACATATCAACAGAGTCCTATGCAACGAATGCACGATACATCCATGAATCATAAGCACATCAAACACATTTTGATAAAACCAAACAAACAAAATAGAATATTATATGGAAATTAAAATTGCGTACCTTAATGCTGTAGTAGTAGGGGAAAACCAGGGTTTCAGCGAAAGACCCCTTTTCTACCATCCTAACAAATACAAATTACCCCCCTCAAATCCCACGCCAAACGGTTTACACAAAACCAAAACATGGGTTCTAGCGCAAATATAATTCTATAAGTTTAGGCAACTGCCTTTGTCACGTGGAGATATGTTAAACTCAATCACGTGCTGCACTTTCAAG